AGTGGATAGAGAGAAATACTGTTAACTGATGGTACATGGAGGGGAGTATAATCATTGTAATGAAACAAGGTAAATGAGTGGTTGAATGTAAAACTGATGATATGCCCTATAAACTTTCACTCAATCCACAATAAAAACCTTAAAAGAAAAAATAAATCAAACTGTGTATTGCATTATGAAAACATGACCTCTTTAAAGTGTTCAAGAGCAAAGATGTCAGTTTGAGGACTAAAGGTGCGCCTGACTCAAGCCATGGTACTTTCAATAGCCTCATATGCATGTGAAAGTTGGACAGTGAATAAGGATTATCGTAGAAGAATTGATGCCTTTGAGTTATGGTGTTGGAGAATAACAATAAAATACCATGAACTGCTAGAACAAATAAATCTGTCTTAGAAGAAGTACAGCCAGAATGTTCATTAGAACTCAGGATGGCCAGAATTTATCTCTCATACTTCAGATATATTATCAGGAGGGATCAGTCCCTGGATAAGGACATTATGCTAGATAAAGTGGAAGGTCAACCAAAAAAAAAAAAAAGGAAGACTCTCAACAAGATGAACCGGCACAATGGCCAGTGGCATTGTTTCGTTCTGTTGTGCATAAGATCCAAGATCAAACAAGAGTTTCCAGAAGCTATGACTATGTTATGTTACATGACAAAGGCAGATTAGGGTTGCTAATCAACTGACCTTAAATTAAGGAGATGATCCTGAATTATCTGGGTAGTACAATACAGACACAGTGGGAGAGGGAAACCCAAAGGTGGGAATCAGACAAGATGAGAGAAGGACCTAAGCCACCAATGAGCACTTAAAAATGGAGGACGACAAAGGAAAGGAATGCAGGTGGATTAAGAAGCTAGAAAAGGCAAGAAAATGGATTCCCTTCAGTGGTTCCAGAAAGGTAGGAAGTGCTACTGAGAAGCTGATTTTAGTCTAGTGAAGTCTGTGTCTGACCTTTAACTCACAGAGCTGTTGGATAATAAAATTGTGAGGTATTAAGCCATTTAGTCTGTGGTAATCTGTTATAGCAGCCATAGAAACCGAATACAGCAAGGGATTGCCTAAGAGCATGGCCTTGCATTCCAGCTCTGCCACTGAGCAAACCCTGGAGCTTCGCTGAATCTCAGTTTCCTGGTCTGTAAAATGAGTATAACACCCTCTACTCAAAGGAGCTCTGGTAGCATAGTGGTTACAAATCGGGCTGCTAACCTCTAGGTCGGCAGTTCGAAACTACCAGCTGTTCTGCGGGACAAAGATGAGGCTTTCTGCTCCTGTAAAGATTTACAGCCTAGGAAACCCTGTGCAGGGTCACTATGAGTCGGAACCGACTCCACGGCACATAACAACAACAACAACAACTCAGAGGAGGATTTAATGAGATCATGTATGCAACACATTTAATACATGAAGTGCTTAATATGTAATAAATGACAGAAGTGAAAGAAAGAACTAGACATTAAGCTGGGAGGTATCGATCACCTTTCCCAATGCATCTGGGGATCAGAGGTCTCACAGGCTTTGAACCCCATTCTGCCACTCATGGTAGTTAAAGACTTACCTAAACTCTCTAACCACACACTCAATGCCTACAAGGTTGTTATTGAGATTAAATGGGAAACCATTCTCCAGGGAAGTCAGATCAGCATTTGCCCACTGCATATGGGAAAAGCACAGGTCCCCTCTCCCAGCCCCAGACCTCAACAGTCCTCCATCTGCCTAGAGATGCAGTCTTGTATCCAGGGCTTAGTAACTGCAAGTGCCTAAGGCTACTGCTGTCAGTGCTTATCCTTCCTCCTCCCAGATCTTCTCTCAGAGCACAGACTACTTCCAGAAAAACAACCCTAGGAAAGACAAGAGAGGATTTAATCATGCACATAATCTGGTTTCTCTTAAGTCAGCACGGGGCCAGTGTGAAGTCTTGTGGTTGGAGGAAGGGAAGAGAGAAAAGCTGAGTTGAGAATTTTGTGCCTGCACAGGCCTTCTGGAGGGACATGGACGGGCCCTCCTGGACACTCACCTTCTTCTGCTGTCTCTCGAAGATGAACACAAGGGTCAAGGTCAGGGTCACGGCAGCCAGAGTGACAAGCAACACACCCACCCAGTGCTTCCCCAGAGCAAACATCTGGCTGGTTGAGTAGATATTGGCCCACACCACCACGTAGAAAACCTGCAAGAAAATCCTGGTCAGGAGCACCAGTCCTGGAATGAAGCAACTCCATTCAGAGACACATCCCTCCAGACGGTTCTGCCACTCTGCGGGGATTCAGCTGGTTCATAAGGTCAGTAATAATGTACAGAGTGTGTGCAAACAGCCTCATGAGCCTTGGTTATAAGCAGTCAAGAAACGTAGCTATGCTAATTACCCCTAATCCTGTTCCTTATGGTTTTAAATACACCATAAGTCTTGTAGTGGGAAAAGCAGAGCCTTCAGAGAAAAATTTGAGTCCAAAGCCCACACTGATCTTTTATTAGCTACGTGGCTCTGGACAAGTTCTCCAACACTTCTCTGTGTCTTAGTTTTCTCATCTGTAAAACAGAATAATAAGCTACTTCACAGGGCTATTATAAGGACTAACAAGATTACATCTATAACTGTCCAGCAGGTATTGTTGTTGTTGTTGTTAAGTGCTGTTGAATCAGTGCTGACTCATAGCTACCTTGTACAGGGTTTCTGAGGAGTGGCTGATAGGTTTGAATGACCGACCCTGTGGTTAATAGTCCAGGGTTTCTCCACAGCACCACACTAATCATTGCTACCTCCCATCCCATCCCTTCTCTCTACAAGTGCAACACAGGAGCCGAGTGTGCTATTTGACTATTTTTACATATAAAGAAACAGAAAATCATAGTGCTTAGGAGCACAAATGCTGAAGCTAAATTGCCTGTGTTCAAATCCTATGTCTACTATGTGTATATGATTCAATGCATATATATATACAGTCCGAGTGGAAACGATCCCATCTATTGAACAGATGGGGAAAACAAGGCCCAGAGAGCAGGGAAAGTCTTGGCCAATGTCATACATCAAATCCAAAAGTGGTAAATTTCCAGTGTACCAATCCCAAACTCAGCCCATTGTAAATTCTATTTCATACCCTTTACATGGGGACCTGGCTACAACGCTCTCCCACAAATTTCCTCTCGTACCAAATCCAAGTCTAAAAGGTTCCAGCATGCCATGTTGGATTCAGCCATGCTGCAGGGTCCATGGCAGGGGTCAGTGTGGGGCCACCCTCCCTCCTTACCACAGCGAAGGCTAGTCGCATGGGCCTCGAGTTGTAGATGATGTATCTTCTCACTTGGGGCTCCAGAAGTGCACTCTCAGCCAAGCTCCTGTACTGGTCAGCGGGGACCTGCTCGGCCATGCAAGGGAGTTAGTTAGCCATGGAGAAGCACTCCCCACTCCTTCCCACCAGCAAGCACAGCATTTCCCGTTCACGTGACTCTCACACAGAAGGTGGGAGCAGGCACATTCTGGGCCACCTGAGAACTCAATGGGGAGTCACAGAGTGCAGCTCAGGGCAGGACGAGCATCAGGGGCGACAGGACAGCCTGAAATCCAGGAGGACTTCCTGGAGAGGGATCCTCACAGCAGACAGGAGGACCTGATGGTTAGGACACAGGCCCTGGAGTCGGACAGACGTAGACCCAATCCCTGGCCATGTCACCAACTCATACATGCTGTGGCCTGGAGAAGAAAACTCCAGCTCTCTGATCCTCAGTTTTCTCATCTGCAAAATGAGGATAGGAGGAGCCCTGGTGGAGCTGTAGTCTAAGCACTGGACTGCTAGCCACAAGGTCAGCAGTTCAAACACCCCAGCCACTTGGAGGGAGAAAGATGAGGCTGTCTGCTATCGTACAGTCTTGGAAGCCCTAAGGAGCAGTTCTCCTGTGTCCTATAGGGTCGCTAGGAATTACAACTGACTTGATGGCAGTGGGTTTAGTTTCTGAGTTGTTTCTGTCCATTAACATTAGCCCACTGCCTGCTAAATTTTCAATTCTCTTTCAAAGAAGAAATTCTCCAATCTTCAGGGTCAAATTAGCAGTATACCTTACCCATCAGTAATGAATCCTCCCTGGTTAGCACAAGGGAAAGTTTGATTTTGCTGGGGGGCTTTGGGAAGAGAGATAAAATCACTCCTGTGGGTCTTAATAACAGCAACAGCGCTTGTGTGGCACTGTAGGATAAGCAGTGGACTGCTAACTGCAAGGTCAATTGTTCAAACCCACCAGCAGCTCCTGGGAACCGTACACAGGATTACTATGAGTTGGAGCCAACTTGAGAGGCCTTAACAACAACAACAACAAAGTCAACGCAAGGGCTCTACAGGCATCAGTTCACTTAATCTTCACAAAAACTCAACATAACAGGTATTAATATTGTTTTTATTTGACAGATGACAACTGAGGCTCAGAGATGGTAAGTCACACAACCAGGAAACAGCAGAATTGGATCTGTACATAGACCTATGGGTCTGAGCATCCTATGCCTTGAATCACTAGGCTTGAAGTTACTACATCATTATTTAATGAATTCATGTGTCCTCTCCTTTGCATATACAAATTTCTCTCCTGGATGTCCTTCTTCCTGTCCAGCCAGCAAACTCCTATATATCCTGCAAGATCCCAGATCAAGTACCTGTCCTAATTAAAGCTTTTTATAACCACTGTCTCCTCCCAAACCTGGTTTATTCTCTTTCTGTGTCTTCCATGCCTTGGACTTTCCTCTACTGTTTGATCCAATGTGTGTCCTATTCACCTCCATAATGCTTCATGCCCAGCAAAGTTCTGGCACACAGTGGGCACTTGAAAACACATTTCTGTTAAAGAAATTAATTTGGAAGTGAGGATTGTTCCAATACATTTTGATATCTAACATGAAAATAAACGTTTAACAAATAGCTCATGAGTAACTGAATGAATGTCATTGTTGTTCAGTGCCGTCTAGTCAGTTCTGACTCATAGCAACATTGAATAGCATTTCCCAGGAGTGAGTGGCTGGTCGGTTCCAACTCATAGCAACCCTGTATAGGGTTTCCAAGGAGCAGCTGGTGGGTTTGAACCACTGACCTGCGGTTAGCAGTCCAGTGTTTACTCGACAATGCCACACCAGGACTCCAACTGAATGAATAGATGGATGGATAGATAGAAGGATTGATGCTAGGAGAGAAGACAAGGAGGAAAGGAGAAGGAAAAATAGTAGATTTAATTAGGAAAAAAAAAAAATCACTCACCTGAATACCCCAGGTCTGCAGCTGTTCTTCTACAGCTCCCAGATCGAATGAGATGGGTGCACAGGTATTGTCGATCCGGAGAACTGTGAGGACCTGGCCATTACCAAGTTCTGAAAGATCAAATGGGACCCAGCTACCATTAATTGAACATTTTGATGAAAGATTCAACAGAAGAACCTTGATCAAAAGTGGGTGGTTGTGGTGCAGAACAGGGTTTCAGATTTTCATGGAATCCAGAGTTTCTGGAGTCATGGAGTCTGGATGAACCCCCAAAACTATGGTCCTGAGATGATCTTTAAACCTTAAACCAAAAATATCCCCTGAAGACATCTTAAAGCCAAATATGAGCTTAGCCTTAAAACTAATATAAAATGTCTGCCTTGAGAATTGTTCTCATTTTAGATTTATATATGTGGGATGAAACTGACAACAGCAACTCAAAAGACTATATAAGACCGGACCCTTCGGGAGCAGTGAGTGATGTTAACGGTGAAGGAACAACTCAGAAAAGGCAGGTGAGAATGTCTGCACAACTCCAAGAATGTGATTCTTGTCACTGAGTTGGGTGTGCAGAGACCATTGAACTGCTACAGGTTCTTTGTGTATATTCTCAACAGCAAAAACAAACTATTAATAAAAAGACAAAAAAGATCAAAAGCATCATCTGGCTAAGTGACAGCTACTCTGGATGGCCCAGAGCCTGATGCCCTCACTCCTTCTGGCTGTGAGACCAAGTCCTGGTGAAAATGGACATGGTAACCATCCTCAGGCTCCTAAGGATCAGTCCTAAGGAGAAGTCCTGGACTTGACCAGAAAAGCCCCAGGAAGCACAACTGAGGCCAGAGTACAGAGGTACAGAGGCTACTGGAACAATGCAAGACCATATATTGGGGAACAGACAGTCTCTTTAACAGTGGTGCTCGAAAAACTGGATATCCAGGTGCAGAAGAATGAAACAAGACCCACATCTCACACCAATTACAAGAGTGAACTCAAGATGGATCAAAGACCTTATCTACTCATGTACCTTATACATGACATCAGGAGGGATCAGTCCTGATGGACACCATGCTTGGTAGAGGGTTCACGAGAAAGAGAAAGGCCCTCAATGAGATGCACTGACACCATGACTGCAATAAAGGATACCAACAAGAAAGAAGACTGTGAGGATGGCTAAGACCAAGCTGGTTTTCGTTTTGTTGTACATAGGGTCACTATACACTGAACTCAACTCACCATAACAACAACAAAAATGCCCATGTTCTAATCCCTGCAAAAATGGAGCCTTCCATGGCAAAGGAGGGAGGGAAGTGCAGTGGCTCCACAGGATAAGCACTGGACTACAGATCACAAGTTGGGCACTTTGAGCCCACCGGCTGCTCCTCGAGAGAAAGATGAGACTTTCTGCTCCTGCAAAGATTTAAAAGCTTCAGAGACCCTACCAAAGACTATGAGTAGAAACTGACTCCACAGTACTTAACAACAAAAATGGAAAAGGAGAGTTGATTGCAAATGGAATAAAGGCTGCTAATCAGTTCACCTGGAAATAGAGTCTCATGGATTATCCACTGTAATCAGAAGGGTCGGGTCCTGAAGCTTGGAAGAGGGAAGCCAAAGATGACTCACAATCAGAGTCACAATCAAGAAGGAGATGTGACTATAGAAGGAAGGCACAGAGATACAGCACTGTACTGATGAAAAAAGTCATGGTAACCATCCTCAAGCCCCTACTGCTGGCTCTGAAAATGGTACAAAAGGGCCACAAGCCAAGGAATGTGGGTACCCTCCAGAAACTAGAAAAAAAAAACTAGATTCTCCTCTAGAGCTTCCAGAAAGGAATACAGTCCTGCAGACACATTGATTTTAGCCCAATGAAACCCGTATTAGATTTCTAACCTTCGAAACTATGTTGTTTTAAGCTTCTATGTTTGCAGTATTTTTACAGCAGCCTTGGAAAATGAGTATAATGACTTCTTCCTAGATATGTCTGCAACCCACTCAACGTTTTAAAAGATTAAGATCAGTTCACTGTTTATTCTGTAAAAAAAAAAAAAAGGAAACACACACAACACACCATACGCTGTTACAACACCGATCATAATCCTTGCCTGAGCAAGGCAGGATGATGTCTTGAGGTTTGCCTTTTGAGCTCTGAGTTCTTGTATTCCTCTCATCGGTTCCTTAAAATGTGGAAGAGCATACCTTCCCCATTCCCCTTCCGGGGGTGAAGGACAGACCACAAGACTGAAAGCAGAAGTCTGGTCTGAAGTAAGAGCTCTAGATTGAAATTCCCTCCAACTCAGCAAGGCACAGCGGCAGAATGAAGCCAGCCAACCTCAGATTCTCAGTGAGAGGGACACTGGACAAAAGGAATAAGACCTCCCGAGAATGTGAGAACCTGTGAGTCTCCCGTTCAGCATGCAGGGTCCTCATGGAGAGGATTCAAGTCCCGAAATTCTAGCAGCCCAGTATTCAGCCACACAAGGCTATGGACTGGTTATTTTGGCACATTCTCTGTGGCTGTTCCTTAGTAAGTGAGGCAGGACTAAGACGGTTAAACCACACATATGTTATCCACCAGAGTCCTGGTGTGACACTCTGATTTAATGTGCTGGATTACAAAGTTGGTTGGAACTGTGGTTCAAGTTCACCAGCCACACCTCAGAACCCCTACACAGGGTTGTTATGAGTCAGAACTGACACGACGGCACTTAACAACAACAACATGCTATCCACTGGCCAAAGCTCCTGTTAGCTTCCAGCCCAGCTCTGGGTCAATACCTGAGTCTTCTTAGAAGAATGACCAGCTGTACCATTATGGGAAATCCTGGTCCATCCAAACACTCTTTCTCTTTTCATCTAATCCATCACTGAGCCTCCAAAGTATCTCTGAGCAACATGCACCTGTTAGCATCTTCACTATAACGCTTAGCCAACTACCTTCATCTCTCCCTTGTACTCCACTCCTGCAAAAGCTTCCTAAGCAACTTCTCCCTCCTGCAAAGCAGTCTCCAAACAGAGATCCTCTCAAAAATCAGATGATACACGTTCCCCGAGTAAAACCTTCAACAGCTTCTCAATGTTTCCTGAAGAAAGTCAACCCTGTCACCATGCATACTCTTCCAGCCCTTAGAAGAACATATTGTTGTTGTTAAGTGCCGTCAAGTCAGTTCTGACCCATAGCGA